TTCCTCGTCTTCGGGCTGCTTATGTACAGGTGTCAGAAGAGGGGTGCGCTAGCCTACTATGGACAGGTCCAATCAACGTACCTAGGTTGTCCTGCTTGGAGTAGACGTCCCCAAGAGCTTTGTAAGATTCCCATATCGTTGGCTGAACACCGACAGATTGAGTTGAAACAGTTCGTGGAAGTTTCTTCTAAATTCGGATCTTCTATAAGATTAGAATCTTTAGCATCTTTTCGCCTCTTTCCATATTACCTCATTCGGATCGTTACTGCGATGCACTTCAACGGCGACAGGAAAAGAAGGTGCTGGAGGTGCTGAATGTGCTGGATGAGGTAGAGGCGGCGCCACTTCGCCCGCAGGATGAGGTGAAGCAGCATTCGCAGGATGAGGGGAAGTACCACCCACAGGGTGGGGAAAAGCAGCACCCGCAGGAAGAGGAGTAGCGGATGAAGAAAGAGGAAGAGGACTAGCGGTAGGAGTTGTTGCATGCGGCGGAGTGATATGCGGTGGCGTCGCATGGGATGACGAAAGCGGCGGAGCGACAGGTCTGGGCGTTGAAATTTCTGCCGGGATAGAAACGACGTTGCCTACGGTAGGAGCACTGAAGGCAGAAGGTGGAATAGCTGGCTAAATTGAGATCTCATTCAACTCCGCTATAATTTTGAGCATCACTTTACAACCTACCTTCGGTTGCTCAGTTACGGTAAGAGACTGATGAGATGCGGTCTTATGTGCTAGTGGATTCTGAGCTGGAACAGGTTGTTCCGGTGTGACAGGTGCCACCTGACCGGTAGTCTGCTGTTCAGGGAGAGAAGGCGCGGGGACCTTGAAAGAGTATATGAAGATCAATTAGAACCCTGAAACATAATGTCGTACATGGTCCAGAATAGGTGTCTCGCCGTAGGCAACCGGGACTGGCACTGTTCCAGGAATCGAGCTGACCTCGTTCACCGCCACATTCGCTCCATTAACGGCATTTACAGCTTGCGGGACGTTGTTTGGCTGACTGATCGCTGTCGCGGAAGAATCCTGCAAGATCACTGTTTATTGCAAGATCACTATCTGAGTAAAACAAGTTGAATCGATTCAGACATGTTCCTGCAATCTCACCGGGTGAGCATCCTCGACTTTAACTACATTGTTACTTTTTTCTACAGCTCCCTTGCCCTTCCCTTTGTAACGGTCGGAAAGAGCTAGCCTCATTGCCGTATCTCCTGAAAATATGGATTAACAAGAGGATGTAACTTAGTCGAAGAAGCGTAAAACTTTGACCTACTTCCTGCCTTGCCTGCATTCGCTGATGACATGATAGCATGGATATGTTGGTAATCATCTTCACCTTTCTTACCCTTCCTCCTAGAACGCTTTCCTTTTCGTTCCTTCTCCTAAATTGTGAGTAGTAAAGCAAAAACTGAGCACTGGATTCAGAAATTGTATGGAGAGATTTTCGATACGAAAATTTTTGTTTTTTCTTTTCATAACTGTTTGACAGCTGCGTAAAATCGCTTCTTGAAAGCAAAGAAGTTTTTCGGTTTTTCGGAGATATGGTTTCACAAAATAGAGATAGCAGCATGAGGCACCCTTGTGGGTATCGCCGTCACTTTCCTGGTTCAAAAAACTTGGGAGTTAATCTTCGTTATGTGAAGCTTTCAAAAATATAATGATTCATCTGCAGCTTTTCAACAGCAAAATATTGTGAAGTGGGAGATGAGAGCAGCCTTTTGCATAAGGTCTTCTGGAAGATTAGCTGGCAAACCCGGATCAGTCCGACCCCTGTCAGTAATATAATCGTAATTAGCATGCTTACTCAACGTCCTGTGCCAACTCCCAGCCCCGTAGCTCAAAATTTGGTAAAAATTCGATCGATCAATGACGAAAAGTAGCCTACGACACCCGCCCCTCCACGAAGTGTATGTGTACCAAGTTTGGTCTCGATTGGTTCAGGAATAAAAATTTCTATTCGGAACATACGTATGTACAGACATACATACAAGCAGACATTCAGCTTTATATACAAAATAGTTCGCATTATACTTGGGTTCGAATCGAATAGAAATTCGATCGAATAAAAC